GTTTGGGCTCCCAGCCGGTCCAGTTGTCTACTTGCCAGGGATTTGGTTCTTTCCCAGCTTGCCAGGTTCGGGTTCTTGGTGAACTGGAGGAAGTCCCATCTGGTGCCCTCCCAGGTTCGGTCGTGGCTGGGTCTTGTATAGGACTCTCGGACCGCTGCCTTGTCTCTTCCTCAGGAGTCTCTCCTTCGGCTGCGGTCCCACTTGCGCCTGTTTCTGGGGGACTCCTGGGTCACCCGGAGGTTGCTCGAAGGTTTGTGCGGGAGCCTGAACTTCACTATGTTGGTCTACCCGCCGGGTCGAGTTTGGCTTTGTCGGCTGTTCTGGTTCCTTCGGGGACGTCTTTTCTGCCTCTCTCGTGATCGCAGGGTTCAACCCCTGGGGGTTTTGCATCACTGGCATCCTCTTCAGGTTTTTCAGGGTTCAGTGCCTTGGTGCTTGCCCGAGCTCTCGCTCGATGTGTTCACTGATTCGTCGTCTCTTGGCTGGGGCTTTGTGATCAGTGCTAACCAGGCCGGCCAGGGGCGGTGGGGTCCATCCTTCCGTCGAGCCCACAGCACAGTGCGGGAGTTCACAGCGGTGTGGTTTGCACTTCAGAGGATTTGGGTCGCCCGTGGATCGATGATCCGGCTCCATTCGGACTGCTCCCTGGTGGTTCATTGCCTGAACCAAAGGGGGTTTGATGCGGTCCCTGGCTCTTTGGCGCTGGTCGCTTTGGGTGACTCGTCTGCTGAGTTCTCGGGGGTTTGGCTTTCCTGGCAGTTCACATGTGGGGAGTGTCAAACGTCTTGACCGACAGCCTGTCCTATTTCGTTCCCCTCTGCACAGAATGTACGATCGACGCCGACTCCTTCTGTTGGCTCTGCCGGACGTGGTCGCAACGCCTACCCCAGTACGTGGCATCCTTTCCCAATTGTGAGGCCGTTGGGGTAGATGCCTTTTGACAGGACTGGTCGAGGTGGGGGTTCCTGTACCTCTTTCCCTACAGTTCAGCTGTTGCTCCAGGTCCTGACTCACTTGGAGACCTACAAGGGGAGAGTTGTCTTCTTGGCCCCGTGGTGGCCAGCCCAGCCACGCTGGGGGGGCTTTCAGGTGCTGCTTGCCCGGTGTCCTAACCCGGAGGTTTTCCCGCAGCTCCACCTCTTCCACCAGATCGGACCGAAACGTCACGTGGCTGGTTCGATCTTCTCCTCGAGTCTTCCCGTATAGAGTTTTTGACTCGAGTTTATCATCATCATCTCTATGGTGATCAGGTGGCTTCCTTGTTAGTGTCCCACCTGCGGTTTTTGTCTCGGCGGCAGTACGAAGTTTCAACCCATTTTCGCACTTGCTTACAGTCAATATTGGCTCATTTAATAAGTGCATATGTGACATACTAATTGATTGTAAATATTTTAGTTTACATTGAAAAGCTTCATAGAAAACACCGACCTCACCTAACCTTCATAGTATGTTAAGATAAGCATCTTATTGCTTCTTATTTACAATTATTACTTAACCTATCAATGGTATAGGTTAAGTAATAATTGTAATAAGTACCTATCAACGGTATAGGTTAAGTAATAATTGTAATTAAGAAGCAATAAGATGCTTATCTTAACATACTAAGAAGGTTAGGTGAGGTCGGTGTTTTCTATGAAGCTTTTCAAGATAAACTAAAATATTTACAATCAATTAGTATGTCACATATGCACTTATTAAATAATCCAATATTGACTGTAAGCAAGTGCGAGAACTGGTTGGAAGTTTCCTGGCGGTCCTTCCGTTTCTTCTTGCGTCTTCGTCATTGTGCTTCGCTTTCTGTTTAGGTGGTGTTGTCCTTTCTCTCTTGGTTGTTCCAGAACCGTCACCTAATGCCTAACTCCGTCGCCTCATATTATGCGGCGCTGTCGAAGCCGCTCCAGCTTGATTTCGGTATTGATGCTACTTTGGCGCCGTTTCGCAAGCTGTCTCGGGCGTTGTTCCACCTCCGGCCTGCTCATGCGCCGCCGGAGCTGTCCTGTTCATTGGACAGAGTGCTCTCTTATTTTTCTTCTTCTCGGTTTGTTGTGGCCCCTTCGGTTTAGGATTGTTTCTCCCAGGCTCTTTATCTGTTGGCATTGGCCTCTGAGGTTTGGGTCAGTTAGCTTCATGCTCTCCTCTGGCGCACGGGTTTCTGCTCTTTCAGTCTTCGTGATGGTTTTGTTCGTTTGCAGCTGTTTCCTTCTTTTCTGGCGAAGAATGAGAACGCTGCTTTCCGGAGGGGTTCCACAACCCCATGGGTTGGGTTGTGGATGCTTGGTTGGTTAGGCCGGGGGCGCATCATGTTTTGTGTCTGGTTGTGGCTCTTCACCGTTATTTGCGCACCATGGCTTCTGTGTCCGGGGACACGCTGTGGGTTGATCCGGTTTCCCTTCTTCCCTGTTAGCGGGTGAGGGTCTCCCAGGTCGTCCGCAGAGTTATTAAGGCTAGCCAGCCTGCGGTCTATCCCCGTGCCCATGACGTTCGTAAGTTCGCTGCTCTTGCTGCCGTCTTTGGCAACATGTCATGGGCTGACATTCGGGCACAGGGTTTTGGCGGTCGAACAGGGTCCTGGCTGCTTGTTACCTTGTGAACGTCCCTGGGCCTAGTCAGGCCTGTGTCATTTTGGGTCGGTGGTTGCAGCCAGTTGTCTCGACTTCGAGTTGAGGAGTGAGTAGCGACCGCCTCCCGGGTAAGTCCCTAAGTTTTTGCCTCTGTGGGTAGTTAGCTCCGAGGAGCCAAAGGCTTTCCCCAGAAAACCAGTGTTGAATGTAATGAAACGCCATTTTCTGGGTGAGACCCGGAGGCTCCTCGGCATCCCTCCCTCCCTCCGGTCACTGGTTTTTCACTTGTTTTTGACGTCCAGCCTAAGAACTAAGGGTGGATAGCCGGTGTGGGGGTCTGGGGCTCCCCCTTCCCCCTCCCAGGGAGGGGGAGAGCTGTGCAGACAGCGGTGCGGTGACGTAATGATCGTTTGCTCGTTTCATTTAGGGGAGTTCTATCCATTTGTTCGGCTTGTGGTAGCAGTATTTTCACCAGAATAGGGGGTTTGTTTTGGGATGCTTACCTCTCTGGGTGCCTGACCCGGTCGATGGCAGACATAGAATGCTTCCAACCACACAGGGGTTTCTCTAGTCCATTGCTCCCCTTGCTGTTTCTGAGGGGGCCAGGTTCTGGATCATGGACCCCAGTAGGCCCATAAGAACTAAATACACATGCCTGATGCCAAAGTCTGACATTAGCATATCAGCCTAGTAAGCTCCGGGGAGTCTCCGGGTCTCACCCAGAAAATGGCGTTTCATTACATTCAACGCTGTTTTTTTTTAGTTTTTTTTTACATGTACGTGTTCAGGGAAGGGAATTTATCATTTTACAAAAATCAAAACATTTTTTGTGAACACTTGATTTTATGCGCACAGGGGGAATGTCACAATAAACTCGGCGCATCACAGTGCTTAAATTCTTCATGTACATCATCATGCTGTATATTTTTTAGTAAAAATTATGTTTAGCAAGATTATTAGACTTATAAAAAGTTTTAAAAGTATTTGTATCATAAATGATTTATTGTATTAGACTAACTTTCTAGACCAGCCATCAGATGGGTATCTGCTTGAGGTTATCTTGAGAGGATTTCGGGGCTTAGCGTCCCCGCGGCCCAGTCCTCGACCAGCCCTCCTTTTTGTTACACATTCCCCAGGAAGCAGCCCGTAGCAGCTGACTAACTCCCAAGTACCTATTTACTGCTAGGTAACAGGGGCATCAGGGTGAAAGAGACATTTTGCCTATTTGTCTACGCCTTCACCGGGGATCGAACCCGGGACCTCAGGACTACGAATCCAAAGCGCTGTCCACCCAGCTGTCAGGCGCCCTCTCATCAGCCAATACCTCTCCCCCTCCCTCCCTCCCTGCCTCTCTCCCTCCCTCTCTCACATGACATGTGGTTCTCATGTTGAGAGGGAGGGAAAGAGGCAGTGATGGAGGGAGGGAGAGAGATGGAGAAGGGGAGAGGCGGAAAGGGAGAGAGGAGGGGAAGGAGTGAGGCGGGGAGGGAGAGAGGCGGTGAGGGAGAGAGGCAGTGAGGGAGAGAGGCAGTGAGGGAGAGAGGCAGTGAGGGAGAGAGGCAGTGAGGGATAGAGGCGATGAGGGAGAGAGGCGATGAGGGACAGAGGTGATGAGGGCAGGAGAGAGAAAGAGAGGCAATGAGGGAGGGAGGGAGGGAGATTGGCAGTGAGGGTGGGAAGAAGATTTCAATGAGGAAAATGTTAATTTCAATCTGTCATATGAAGGGAATTTAACATTTTAGCTTTTGACATGATGGGAAATATTTCGACCAGTCTGTGATCCATCTGTGAACCAAATTTGACTAACCAGTTCGCCAAAATGAGGGTGTTTTGGCGAACTGGTTCGTCGAATCCGGTGAGTAAATCTGGCCTGAAAAGTGTGCGTCCTAACCGGAGGTTCGCTGAACCGAGGTTGCACTGTACAGTTTTTGAGATCATCTATGAATATAGTACAATTGTACCTAATGCCTCTGCTCACTTAACAGTAAACAGATACCCAGGTTTTAGGAAAGTGTTGTGGGCTGCACTCTGGGGAAGGTCAGTAGGTGGACCTAGGGAGGAACAGGTACCCGGGTGTTAGGAAAGTGTTGTGGGCTGCACCCTGGGGAAGGTCAGTAGGTGGACCTAGGGAGGAACAGGTACCCGGGTGTTTGGAAAGTGTTGTGGGCTGCACCCTGGGAAAGGTCAGTAGGTGGACCTAAGCAGGACCTCATTACCAGTCCTAAGTGCAGGTTTGGTGTCCCCAACAATGGGAATTACAAGTACTGTACAGTAAAATAACATTTTGCTAAATAACAGTTGATTTTAGTCTATAATATTTATCAGACTTGCATGTTTGGTGTTATTATTTTTTCAGTAAAAATTTTTATGTTACAGATAATTATCTACAAAGATAAAATGGTTTTTCTCTAAATAATGTATTTCTTTTTCAAATTTCAGGGTAAGAAGACAATAATTGAAAATGACAATAATTTTAAAGCTCCATATCGTTATGAAACCGGAGTAAAGAATGAGACAAATATAAGAGCAGATGGTAATGATGAAATGGAAAAAGAATTTAATTCTATTATTACAAGTGATTTTACATTTCCCCTGAAGTCCAGAGCAAAATCAGAGAAGAAATCAACTTCAAAGTTAGAAATAAAATACTACAATGACAATGGTGCAAGATTAGAAAAGCATGAAGAAAATGAACATTTATCAGGAAATGTTCTACCGTCTTTCTCATTGAGGACTAAAAACAGATCCCATGGTGATATTGGATTAAAAAAGATATTATGTACAGACACAGGGAAAGGGAAAAAAATTACAAAGCCCTGCTTACCTAGGTTCAAAAGTCAATCCGGACAAAAGTTTAAACCTGTTGGAGGCCTGAAGAAGGTCTACCCACATGTTGAAGTATTAAAATATCAGACGACAAATGTCCCAGCATTATACATGACTGAGAGTAAAAGCTTGGAACATGTAGAAGAAATGATGGAAATTCACACAGCCAAGCAAGTAAATAATGAAATTATGACAGGAGAATTAAGAAAACCAGATAGTCTTTTGAAAACATTTTGTTTTGAAGATGAGAAGGATCAACATATACAGAGAGATGGACGACAGATGCCAAAACCAACATTCTCACCTCAAGGCAGTCTGGCTATAAAGGTGAAAACTTTTAAACGTTGTCAGGACCCTCAAACTGACATGACAAAAATGAGCAATAAAGGTGGATATAAAAAAGCTGACACATGTGATAAGACTTTACAGCAACAAAATGACAAATTATTGTGTGAACAAAATATAGATTCTTGCAATCTCTCTCAAAAGAATGATAATTATTGCAGTATTAGTCTCAGCATACCCAAAATTAATAATAAATATGAGAAAACTGTCATTATTCATTTAAGTACCTTAGATAGTGAACTCTTGGAAATAGATAAAATTTCATATTCACCATATGGTGAGGTTCAAGAGTCTACTTCTGTAAATTGCAAGCATTCTGAAGTTACCAAACAAGGCACTTATGGATCACATAGGAGCTGCATTTTCAGAGACTTGGGCAAAAAATACAATTGTGAGTTAATAAATGCAGGAGATTCCAAAACTGGTAATAAATCTAAAAGCAATGTTGCTCTTGAAAAGGCTCCCAAGGCTGATTGTCAGGAAAACCTAGAAAGTTGTTGTGAAGCAGAGCCAATGTTAACTCATCCCACTGAGGGATTAGAGAAGAATCTTTACACTCATATTGCTTTCCTCACAGATTCACGTGTGCAACGCCTTAATAATTGCTTATCAGCCACTCCGGGAGTAATGACACGAGATCTTCTTGCTCTAGACTATAGTAATAGTGAATATTTTTCTTCAGACAAAGTTAGACTTATGATGATGAAGAAAAAAGGTGGCCGGATAAAATGTAGAGAATGTGGTGTAGCAACAACTTACAGAGCATTTTACAAGCATGCCAAAAAGCATTTTAACATCAAGCCTTTTAAATGTGGATACTGCTCATACAGATCCATTGAAAAGAGCAAGATACGTGTTCATAGTACATTTTGCCATCCCAGTAACCCATGTATAATACTGAAGCTGTCACCAGAAACAGCTGGTATTAATGTTAATGCAGCACATTTGAATAACAATAATAAATGTGTAGTAGTAGAAGCTGAAAACAATAGTAAATACTTTAGTCTTCCAACTTCAGGCAATAATTCACTGGTTTCATGCATATCAAAAAATTCACTTTCGTCAACATCAAGCTCAATAATATACTCAACGACTAATTCACTCTGGTCAACAGCAAACTTAGCAAGCAATTCACTTGGAGCAACAGGAAATTCAGCAAATTATTCACTGAAGTCAGCAGAAAACTCAGCAAGTAATTTAATAGGATCAAAAGTAAATTCAGTGAGTAATTCACCCGGGTCAACAGCAAACTCAGTGAGTAATTCACCCGGGTCAACAGCAAACTCAGTGAGTAATTCACCCGGGTCAACAGCAAACTCAGTGAGTAATTCACCCGGGTCAACAGCAAACTCAGTGAGTAATTTATCCAAGTTAACAGCAAACTTGGCGAGTAATTCACTTGGGTTGACAGCAAACTCATTAGTGGCATCAAAAAACAATACTCTGGAGCAACTTAATCCAACTACTAAACAACCTGCTCTCGGTACTGGAAGTGCTCCACATATGATAGGCAGCACATCTCAGAAGCAGCATCCTTTCCAATGCCCAATTTGTATGAAGTTTCTTCAGAAGCATATGCCATCTATAAGAAGACACCTGTACAGTCATTTTGGGTATAAACCCTACAAGTGTGGTTACTGTAACTTCTCTGGTATTGGACAAAGTGAGGTAAGTTTTTGCGTCTTCATTGTAAATTTTTTCTTTTTCCATTTTTGTAAATTGGGGAGGCACTAATCTAAAAAGGAAAGGAAAAATTCCTGTAAGAAAAAGACCCATGCATCTGATAAATGTTGACAATCCTGGGGTGTGCGCAAAAAAAAAAAAAAACTTAAAAATTATTTTCTGTGGGGAGCCCCGTTGGCTCCCTGAAGCTATCCGAACTGATATAAGTCTGATCTCATCTCATCTACAGTCGCTAGTAAATCCACTGTTTATGTGAATGAATGTCTGACCAGGTTCAGGCAAAATCTCTTTTTTTAAACTGCGTGGTTTCTGCAAAAATTCCCCTATAATTAAACACTGTTTTGTGAGAGATGGTAAAATTATAGCTAGGAGGACTGACACTGGAAAAACCTATTCAATAACCACTGAAGCTCACCTTAATTCTTTTTTTCTGGGGGGAGCCCCGTCGGCTCCCCGGAGCTATCCAGGCTGAATGGATATGTATAACTTTCTGGCATCAGTCAAAGTGCTAGGAGTTCTTGCCTACCGGGGACCACGAGCCAGAACCTGGCCCCCTCAGAGAGGCACGAGGAGCAATGGCCTATAGAAACCCCCTTGTGATTGGGAGCATTCTATGTCTGCCATCGACCGGGACAGGCACCCAGAAAGGTAGGCGCCCCAAAACAAACCCCTATTCTGGTGAAATTATTGCTACCGAAAGCCGAACGAGTGGACAGAACTCCCCAAACAAAATTATCAAACTAGCATGACGTCATCACGTCGCCGCGCCACCGTCTGCGCAACCCCCCCCCCCCTCCCCGAGAGGGGGAAGGGGGAGCCCCAGACCCTCCACGCCGGCGATCCAACTGGCAGTTCTTGGCTGATGGTATTACTGGCTGGTCGAGTGCCTCTGGCTCCGGTTTTTGTTTCAGTTCTGTGCCTTGTGGTGTGGACTGTCTCTACCGGTGGGGTGTGAGCCAGGAGTAAGATTCCACGGTACTCGGGCTGCATGTGCCTAGGGCTATCTTCCCTAGGTGCCCTGTAAGTACTGCCCTTGGGGCTTGGGGCCACCTTCCACAAGTCACCTTGGGTTCTACCTCCGCTGTGTCCTTTACTGCTCGGTACTGGGCCGCCCTTGGAGTCGGCTGGGGTTTTGTTGCCCTGGTTTGTCTCTGGGTAGGTGGTAGTTTTCGTCACTGGTAGGGGCGCGGGGTACTGCACAGCTAGTTTTCACCATTAACAGCGGCCGGCTCTGTTCCGCCTGGGTACGTTGTCCTCTTGCGGGGTTTTTCTTTTGTTTTTGTTTTTGCCTGGTGGGGGGTCTGCTTTTACTATGGTCCCCCTTTCCTGTTCTAGGTGAATTTCTTTCGAATTCTTCTGTTGGCGGTACTCCCCGCTTGGCCCCCGTGAGTGGACACGTCCCGGGGGTTCAGCTTTAGCAGTTTGTTGGTAGATTTGGGCGCCGGTTCGCGGTACCCTGCCTGGGCTTCCCTTAGCGTGTACCAAAGGCTAAGGGCCCTGGGAAACCCCACGGGGGCTCCGTGGTCCTCTAGGTGTGTCCCCGGAGTCCCCCTCGCGTCCTGCGAGTTTGACGGTTGATCTGTCCCCTTGTCTCAGGGTGACACTCACCGGTTGTGCCTCCGCCATGCTGCCTGTTGGGTCCTTGTTCTTGTGACCCGGAGTCGTCCGATGATTGTTGTCGGTACGCGCTCTCCTTCACCCAGGCCACTGGTCTTGATAATCGGGTGCAGGCGGCTGCGGCGTTGCTTGCTGGGTGTGTGTTGCTGCAACGCTCTTGGTTTGCGGCCCCGGATGCCCCGAGGCTGCCCCGTTTTGGTGGATGGGGTCTGGACTTGGGGGTGGGGGTCGCTTCGGCTCTGGCTCCTTCCGCTTCTTGTTCCTCCCCTTCTGTTCTACTCACTTCCTCCCTTGCTTCCTGCTCCGAACCATAGGAGGGTTTCGGGGTTGGGGCGGGGTCTGGTTGGGTTGAGACTCGGGCGGTCTCGGGGGTTTTCCTCTTCCGGGGTGGCGGCGGAGGCATTCGAGTCGGTTCCTCCTGCCGTGCAGTATGGGTCTGACCAGTGGGCTCCCTTCATTAGTGTTTGCACGGCTGCCCCGGCTTTTCCTTGTTAAGCTGGGGCTTTGGGGGTGCGGCTCGGCCCTGGGTCATGCCGTAGAGGTTCCCGGGGTTAGGTAGGGGTTACCTGGGGGGCCTTGGCCCCGTTTGCCCCTCTTGGGTCCTTGTACCTTTGGTGTGGGGCTGGCAGTTCCTCAGAGTGGGGTTGTTCCTTCCCTCTGTGTTCCTGTTGTTTTCGGGTATACCCCTCCCTGGGTTTGGTTCCGTGTTCCTTCGGGTTCGTCGGTCCCGTCGTTCCTGGGGGTGTGTTTCACCCCCTTTTCCTTACCCTTTTCGCTCCTATGTCGCGATGCTGTTCACAAAAAAAAAAAAAATGTGTTCACGTAAGGTACATCCATACAAGGTGTGAAACAAACATTGATGGATTTCTATATTGACCTAGTACATAGTGCCTAAACCGCTTCGTATCGTTGGCCCTGCATGTTCCTTGGTCTGGGGTGCTTGTCATGGTTCTCGTTGGTTCGCGAGTCTCTTCGTTCCTTCCAATATTATTGGAACGTCTATTGATTTTTTATGTGCTTTCCATCGGGTCTTTTGTTGGCCTTGTTGGTTCCCATCCATCATCTGTTTTCTTTCGCTTCGTTTTCGCCTTGTTTTGTTTTCGCGTCGTCTCTACTTCCAGTTTCGGCGTTCTTTGTCTTCGTTCCGCACGCCTTCCTGGTGTTTGTACGATGTCTGTTCGTTGTGTGTATGATTTGTGTGTCCGCCTGGTGTACGTGTCACGCCTCCCGGTGGACGGGTGGTGCGTTTCGTACCTCGTGAGCTGGAGCCGCGGTGTGCGTTTTGTTTATGGGTGGTATGCTCGTGTGTTCGCACCATTTCCCGTGGTTTTTCTACGGCTGCTCGTTTCTCCCTCCAGTCGTGGCCCTCTGGATGCTGAGGGTGTTTTGGATTTATATCTGGGGGTGTCACTTTGTTCTTCCTCTGTACTGCTTCGTCTTCTGCAGGGCGCGCACCTCTGGCCGTCTTTCTCCTTCGACCTCGCATTTTATTCAGGTAAGGGTACATACTGTGCCTACTGCCTCGAGTATGCATGGCTTTCGGGCACACCTTTAGCGCTGCTCCTAGTATGTTACTTGGCTCGCCTGTGTTGTGGCACGGTCGTGTGTCTGCTCTGCAGGTGAGGTTGCCTTGTCTGGCGCTTCTGTCGGCCTAGTGCTGGTTCTCACTTTTGGTGGGGTGCTTGCCTAGTGGTGCTTGCGGGGGTTGAGCTCTGGCTCTTGGGCCCCGCCTCTCCTGTCAGTTGACGGTTGCGCAGTTTCCTGAGCCTTCTGGGCTCTGTCTTCTTGTTTGCTCCTGTGGGTGGCGTCTGCCTCCTCCACATGGCATTTTGGTGCTTTTGGCTTCCTTTCCCTCTGCCATTAATCGGGTTCTTTTTAGTGTCTGTGGCTCCTTTGGGTGCTCACTACCTCCTGTGTCCCCTTGTGCGTACCTGCATACGGACATAAGTACAGTGGCCCTGCGGAGGGCCTCTTGGCCCGTGCGAGGCAGCTATTAAATTAAATTAAATTTTGCTCCGAGGGGCAAGTTTATTGGGCAGCGCCACTCATCTTGTGAGTGGACACACCGCCATAGCGGCATGTACAACACTCCCCAATAGGAAGAAAACCCGCTGGGTTGTTCATCCTGTCACTTGTACCCAGACACAGCTGGGACTTGCTTACCTGTCTCAAGTGAACAGCTCCTCAAACAAGAAGATTAACATACATTCCCACTCACTTACATGTCCAACCCGCCCTTGCACCAATAGTGGGGCCCCACCACCACGTTACGTGGTAATTGGTTCCGCACATCACCGGGCCTGTTACCGTGCCGGTCATTCCTCCGGTCTTTCCTGATTCTGAGCTTATCCCTTTTATGCCCATTGTTTCGTGCCCACAATGTGCCGCACGGGTGGCATGTGCCACTATCCCAGTTTCTATTGTTTCGTGGAGATTGGTCAATAAACACAAACACTAAGGAACTACTTATCTTTTGTTGCATATACAGTAGTTGTGGGTGATCGTTGGCGGGCAATGGTGCGGGTTGGGCGCACTGAGTGTCGGTACGGTGTCTCGCATGTCTGTTCTAGACCACACTTGCCGGTAGACTAGTTATTATTCGCTACTCTGCTGGTTATATGCTTGGGCGCCGCCTCAGTTCCCCACAGGTTGGCAGGACTTTTTGTTGGACGTACGGAACGGTTTGAGTTCCGTCGTTGGTACTTTGTAGAGCTTTGCTTCTCTAGTTAGGCTCATGCGTTTGGAGCGTGTATCTTCTTGGGATACTCTACTCCCTCCGCCACCCTTGTTCACTGTTCCATCCTTGTTTACTCTTCCCCGCTTGGCGGGATTGCGTCGATGGCTCCTGACTGGGGTGTTTGGTGTGGTGTTTGGTCACCTTGCATGTGTCTTTAGTGCCTTTTGTCCATCTTTTGTTCTTTGTTGTCCTGTGGGGCTCTGCCCCGCATTTCGGTGCTTTTGTTTTCGTTGTAGACCCCTGGGTCTTTTCCCTGTCTGGACACTTTCCTTGCCTATCTTCGGTGCCTGACTGCACCCTCACATAGCCGAGGGAGAAATCATCTCAAGAACCTCAAGATAACCCTGCTGTCCGTAAGGTCCCTCAGGTATGTACGCGCTCCTCTACACATTTTGTGGTTGGTCGTGTGCATTACTTCCCGGCCGCTCCTTGGGGCCGTATTCGTGGTTTTCCTTACCTAATTCAGTTTTTCCTCCCCCATGCTACACTTTTTTGTGTATCTGAGTCAGTGCTTCTTGATTATCCTGTTTGGTGCTCCGGTGGACCTCTGTCCATGTTCCACGTCCTGCTTTTGGACTTCTCCGGTGTTCCGTTTTGGTACCGAGTTCCTGCGATTTCTGTGTGGTTTTCT